GGAGAGGAGCGGCCTCAGTGTGTTTTATGTGGAGAGGTGCTCAGTAACGAAAGCTTGAAAATGAATAAATTGGACCTGCATCTCCAAACAAAACATCCTCTGCAGGGACAAATCGAAGGATTTTTTCATCTGCAAAGAAGAGTCTTTCAAGAAGCAGTGTTTTGACGGCGGAAAAGTAAGTCACTCATTTTAATAATTTGTTTTGTGTTTTTGTGAGTTTGTCAGGGTCTGTTGTGAAATTGTTTCGTTAATGCAAAGTTGGATGAAATGCAGACTGAGCCCCGGAGCGGACCGCCAGCTGCGCGCTCTCGCGCGTCCTCTACTCGCTCCCGCGAGTCCACTACATTCTGCAGCGGCACAGAGCGGTGTTTCAAAAACAATAACCACAGGAAGATTAGGGGGAAAGTGACAGGTAGTATGAGAAGGAAAGCGAGAGAAAGTATCAGCCGCACGGATGTGACTGCTGCAGTGTGATGCACATAGGAATACATATGGGGGTTATTCCCTCTCTTTATTCAAGAGCGTGGTCTTTAAATTTGAGAGCATACTTTATTGATTTCACGTTCAGAATATGTATTTCTTTCCCTCAAACCCTGTCTTCACACTCAAATAGTGCCTGCTTGCGCTTAGATTTGCTCTGCTTCTGCTCAAACTGTACGCTTGCACTCAGATATATTTCTGCTTACAGGTTTCCTGTGTTCCAGCTTAAAACCTTCTCCTCGCACTCAGGCTGTTTGTGCGCTCGTGAAATGTCTGCTCTCAGATTTCTTCTGTGCGCGCTTGGGTCTTTTGTGCAACAACCCTGTCAAAATCCCTCCGTGGGGATTCCCCACAGTATTGAGTATGTAGTAGCTTTGGATAAAAGCGTCTAACAAGTAACATGTAATGTAATGCGCTATAAATGCGGTTGCCAGGTCCACATTGGGTATACAGCGTACGCCGGCTGGTATTAAAAATCACCCAATAACCCAGCAATGTTAATGATAATATCTTCTCTGTTATTTTCAGGCATTCAAAGGGAACAGAGGGGCACTGAGGGCATCCTATCAAGTCAGCCTCCACAAAAAAAAAGTTAATCAGTTGCCAAGTGTTGGAGTTTCTTTGTCTCTCAGAGTGTTTTAAAACAGCTCTGTTCATTTAAAAGTGTTTAAAAAATGTGTGTACATAGTTTTTGATCTAGTGACTTAATGTTGCACTTCTGATAATTTAAATTTGGTTTCACCTGTGATTAACTGAATACACTTCACTGTACTTCAGTTAGTGTTTTGTCCCTTTCTGTTTACAACATGTTTGTTCTTTGTTCATTTAAAATAGTTTAAAATGGTGTGTACATAGTTTTTGAGCTAGCAACAAACTTAATATTGCACTTTTGATAATTGAAATGTGTACTGTATATACTTGACTGCACGTCCCATGTTTCGTCTTTCTGCTTTGATCCTTATTTTTTTCTGGGCAAGCTCAAAGGGAAGGTTGTTATGGTGAGAAACCTAATTGCTGCGATGCACTTTTATAATTAAATAAATATTTTCATTTACATTTTAAATTCATGGTGTGTTGCATTCTTTGTTTATAACTGTAGATATTATGGAAAATCATGACATTTTTTGAGCTTGGGTCCCTTAGGACCACAACATTTCTGTTTTGGGTCTCATGCTGAAAAACTTTGGGAACCCCTGCATTAAATAAAGGTAGGAATTTGACTGGGATGTGGCTGTAAATCTGGTTTACATTCAAACACTGTTTTTTTTTCTCCCTCCAGATTTAATTTTGAAGATGAAACGCCGACAACACACTTTGACACATTCCCAGCAGCCATTCTCACCGTGTTCCAGGTAAAGGTCACCTCCATCATGCCCCCCCCTGCTCTGCTTGTTGAACTGAAGTGGATTAAAACCCTGAGCCTGTGTCTTCCCTGCAGATCCTCACTGGGGAGGACTGGAACGCAGTCATGTACCATGGGATCGAATCCCAGGGGGGCGTTAAAGGGGGGATGTTCACCTCCATTTATTTCATCATTCTCACTCTCTTTGGAAACTGTATCCTTCACGTTTGTGGCATTCAAGCAGCCACAATGAAAGTGTGCAGCATTCATTTGAAGAACAGCTGCAATTGTACATTGATTCTGTGTGTATCAATCATTTGCTGTGGCGAGCCGTGGCTTTTATACCTAGGCCCTCAAAAAGAAAAAGAGTTATTACGTCACAGCGTATACTTCAGCGGAATATCAAAACAACGGCCCGGGGTGCAAAACGCATCAATGACAGCACACAAAATAACACCTGTAAATAACCCAATTTATGTTCTTTGAAATTGAAAAGGATATTGCATTGTGTTTGTTACTTTCGTTGCAGTTGTATATATAGCTGCTTTCAAACCAAGTACTTTGTCGTACTTAGTTCCCAGCACTTAGTTNTGTATATATGTCTTAAATGTAATTTGGCTTGGCTTCCTTTATTGTATGGACATGCTTTTATTTTGAAGGCGAGTTTACGCTGTTGACTGGAAGTTGTTGTTGTTATGGAAACAATATGACGGAGAAAAGGAGCAAAGATTAACGGAGAAAAGTAATATCTACATATAAAGACGGAGAAAGTAAAGGATAAAGTTTATGTGTTAGCATCCCCCGAAGAGGCACAAGCTCTTACTGTTGCATTTCCCTCCGAATAAGGATCGAAGACTTGACTGTTGGTATTGAAGATTTCAATAAATTCACATCATCAGTCAAGACTTCGACCATTATTCAGATTTATATAAACACCTATCATGACAAGGCAACCACAGCCAAGTAACAATTAAAAATGAATTAAGTCGGCACGGTGGCCCACATTGAAAATTACTTAGGCCTACCTTTGATGATCAAATCATTTAAACACAATGTCCATCCTCCTGTCCTTTTGGATGAAGTACTTGATGGCGGGGTCAGCTGATCCTTTGCCACTCCAATTTATCATTGTAACTCAATCTTGAAAATGACTCGGTTACATTTTTTTCGAAACGATGTCAACACTGCCACTGACGTGAAACATCATTAACGAATGTATGCTAATTAGCTACCTCCGCCTAGCTTGACCCGTTGTTATAACACATGCATAAACTTCACAGCGGGCGGAACTTGTCATAAAATCCGCGCTAATAAAGCCCACCCATTTAGAGGGAAGATATGATTGGTCAATTGTACTGTCATTTCACATTACTCTCTCATTGAGTTACTATAGCTTGGCCCTCTGTGAATTTATAGCTGGACCACCAATCAGCTCCTATCTTCACAGTAACTTGCAGAGACAGTCAAAGGAGCTTCTTTCATTTAGCCCTTCACATTCCAACATAAACTGAATAGGCATATTCAAAGGATTTATTTCTTTGGAAATTTTATTTTAAATACAGTTCAAATAAAGTTATTTTGGTAAAACTGATGAAAATTATTTTTTATTTATTTTAATTATTATTATTTTTTTTTTTTTATGTTTTTAAATATTATTTTGTAAAATATCTTAGGCCCTCAGAGGGCCCTGACGGCTCGCCACTGATCATTTGATATTTTTCTCAGACCACAAATAACCAGACACGCTGCTCAACGTTTTCTTGGCCATCGCTGTGGATAACCTGGCCAATGCCCAGGAGCTCACTAAGGTACAGTATTTCTTTATAGCCTCACACATCCTGGCTTTATACACCAACAACATCCATCAATAAAAGGGTTTACCTTAAACTCAATCCCACATACAGCCAGCCTTTTATTACTTATAGAAGACAGTGAATATGAATGGGATATGTTTGAGGTCATTCCGGAGTGGCTGTTGTTATATAACTGATATAATGCCAGGTCAGTATATATTATATTGAATTTATAAGATTATTTGTAGCTCTTTATCCCTCACCAGGGGGCAGGTGTTAACCCCAATGTGCAGGGTTTCCATGGGTCCTTTAAATCCTTAAAAGTTGGTGAATTTGAGGTGGAAATAAAAATCAACGTTTTGAAAGTTTCAGAAAAAAGATATTGGTCATTGGAAATGCTTAACTTAAAATGAATAACTTTGTCATAGTACCAGACACGGTGAGAAGGTGATGTGGTCATTACTTGTGATGAAGATGAACCTTTGTTTTCCCCCCAGGGGAAGTACAGGTGTTCCCACAGTACAATACACACACATGCATTTGTCTGATATACCGAGATATGTTTAAGCAAACAGGTTGCCAGTTTGTCCGGCGCCAGAGGTTCGGTGCCTTGCTCAAGGGTACCTTAAATAATAAAAGATGGACTTATAGGGATCCCTTTGGCTGGTGGATCACCAAACATAGTCCTGCTATGGGGAGCTGTGTAAGGATACAAGGTAGATAGTCACCCTACAACCTAAGGGTCGGTGGATCAATCCCAAACCCCTGCAGTCCAGATGTTGACCATGGCGATCAGTGTGTGAGTGTGGGTCTGTATGGCAGCCTCTGTATGAATGTGTGTGAATGGGTAATTTTTGACTTGTATTGCATGTTACAAAGACTGGAAGAGAGATGTATAAATGCAGTCCATTTATCATGTACACATGAGCTGAACCCTCGACTGCATATGGAGGCTAACCAACTGCACTGCACAGTCATCAACATGTTACCACCCCCCCCTTGCATCCCCCCCTCCCCCGTTACGTTTTGTTTAGTTGTTTGTTGTTACATGTTTTGATGTACGGTTTGTTATCTGGAGCAATGTCTGTTAAAATAAAATTTAAAAAAAAAAAAAAAAAAAAAAAAAAAAAAACATGTTACTATAAGGCCAAACCTCTCATTGACTTGCTGTATGTACTGTTTGCATGTATGTGTGTATGTGTGTTTGTTTGTTTGTTTCTGCACGTACTGTCCAGGATGAAGAGGAGCAAGAGGAGGCCATCAATAAGAAGCTCACACTCCAGAAGACAAAGGAGGGGAAGGAGGTCAGCCCCATGTCAGCCACCAACATCTCCATCACATCGTGAGTCCACTCCTCTGAAGTCTGCCTCGTCACTGAACACACACACTCAGAAACACACACACACTCAGGCTACATGCAGGTTGTTGTACTGCTCATGCTAAGGACCAGCAGTTTGGATGTTATGAGGGGGGGTTGTATGTGGAATGAGTCTCCATAGTTATTGTCTGGTGCCTCCAGTGTGGAGAGACAGACATGAGTTACTGAACATAACCAAAGTGCTGCTGTGGACAGAGACAGGGCAACAGTTACTCAACCTAGACAAAAATATATATTAGTTTTAAGTGTACGCCTCGATCAGTTGTGGTTATTTTGTGACCCAACAAAGTCACTAACTACTTGGGGCATTGGTAGAACACCAACTCCCAATTTACCATTGTACTGTTTTTGTTTGTTGTTTTACAAAATCACAACTATCTCTTTAACCTGAATTTTTTTTTTTTTTTTTACAAAAACAGAAGCAAATCAGCTATGCACATAATAACTCATTATTTCAATATGAACAATACATGGCTATAGCTACAGCCCAAACATGTAGAATCTCTTCATGCAGGAGTGTGTATGAAGAAATTTAAAATCTTAGAATTCTATTGAACCAGGTTGAATCTTGTTTTTTGCCCATGCTCTATCCCTGTTCACTTCAGTCTTTATTGATTTTCAATCCATGATAGTAGTAGTACAGATCCTGTTTCAATCCCAAAAAGTGACAGGTCACACCTGCTACTACTTATGCAAATGACCCCCATGTGTATGCTAATGACCCCCTTTGTATGCTAATGACCCCGTTATGACCCCCTTTGTATGCTAATGACCCCGTTATGATCCCCTTTGTTTGGCTAATGACCCCGTTATGACCCCCTTTTGTATGCTAATGACCCCGTTATGACCCCCTTTGTAACCCTAACCCTAACCCGAGCCCCTTACTGTACAGTAATAATATTAATTTGAAATATCTTATGTAGGTTTTAATATGATTGGTGTTAACTAAGGATGTTCTTTTCAAGTTGTGTGAGACTGTTAACTAATGTTTAATTACTTTAGTTTATAAAGGGCTGGAGTCTCACACAGTGTCTGTGAAGGTGTGTGTGAGACTGTGTGAGCCTGTCTCCCCCCTACCCCCGCAGGGTAATATTCATTTTAAAGATCTTATTTAGGTTTTAATATGATTGGTGTTAACTAAGGATGTGAAGTTGTGTGAGACTGTGTGAGACTGTCTCCCCCTACCACCTCCTCCCCCATTCCTTCCATCCCTCTGTTTTTGCTGTGATGCCAGTAGACAGAGGGAGGTGGAGTTTAAA